CCTTCCCTTTTGCTCCCAGGGAGGACACAGCTAGCACATTACGGCACTTGCTTCCGACAGCTTTCACCCCTTTTTGGGTGACCACTCTTGCTTTTTTTTACTTTTCGCAACGCAGTCATAAACAAAAAAATCGCCGAGGGAGAGAGGAGGTTATTGATCGATCGATTGATTGATTGATTGATTGATTGATTGATTGATTGATTGATTGATTGATTGATTGATTGATTGATTGATTGATTGATTGATTGATTGATTGATTGATTGATTGACTGATTGATTGATTGATACATGGGGTTCAACGTCCCAAAACCACCATATAATTATGAGAGACACCATAGTATGAGGGCTCCAGAAATTTTCACCACCTGTGGGAGAGAGGAGGACAATTTTCCGCGATGCCCTCATGTAGCTGAGCCCTTTCGCAACAAGTCCGGGGAGTTGCTGCGGTTCGATTTGGGCCAGTTTTTCTGAAAAACAGGTGAACGAGTAGCGGAACTCGCATTGACAAACAGCGCACGTTCGCGCTCACCGGGGTGTATTGAATTGCCCCGAGACGCCGTGGGGATACGGCGCCAGCAAGGTGGGCGCCCTCTTGCGGTGGCGATGCGTCTCTTTGATCTTCTCATAGCGCACGTTTACCGCTACCCGTTTCATATTGCGAACAGAAAGCTAAAACAAAAAAACTCTATGGGCTCCAAGCACACGATCATTGAACTGCTTCGTGCCTCGTTTAGCACGACGCCCTTCTATTCTCTAGCTGCCTATCTATCTATCTATCTATCTATCTATCTATCTATCTATCTATCTATCTATCTATCTATCTATCCATCCGATGTTTCATAATATCGCTCTTTCCTTCAGCTGTTTACGTTACGATGTTCTATACTTTGTCTTTCTGTAACAACCAGCCTATACTAAATTGTATCCTAAGAAAAAAAATTGAGCCGGTTGCACGTACCTGGGAATCTACGTTATGCGAAGCATGCGGAGGGAAAGTGACCGTGTTGCAATTTTTTTGATTGAGTGACACGTCATGAAATAACGCTAATTATATGTACAAATGTTGCACGCACAGACATGTGTTGAAAAGTTGCAGATGTTTATAGAACCAGTCGTTTGCACTTGCGCAACGATGCCAACTGGAACATGTGTGTAAGCGATACCACAAGCTGATATGAAGCGCTGATGCTCGCGAGGACACTGGCTTTGGACACAGCTACATAAATCAACTTCAGAGCATGCAACTAACCATAATTGACTATAACTTGACATGACGGCTGCATCAAAGGACGACATATGTAATTTTTATGAAATCGGGTAGGCAGCACTGCAGTCACTATTGACGTTTCACGAAGATAGCGTCCATTGGAAAAGTAGTTCTGAGACTTGGTGTAGCTGTGTGGTAAAATGCTTCATTGCCCCGCAGAATGCCAGGGTTCAATTCCAGCTGTAACCCTGACATTTATTATTTGCATTCGTCTGGTCGACGCTACCAATGTCAAGTATTTCTGAACGCTCACGTGTTAAAAGTGCCCGTTTGTAATCTCGTCATTCCTGGATAGATACCAAGTGTCAATCACCTGTGGCACATACCCGCATACTAGCGGCACATACTCGCCTGTGGGTATCTGCCACTGTCAGGCGAAAAGTGTTTGACGACGTACGCGATGGGATTGTGACATTCTTAAATTCTTCACCAACGCGTCATATTCGTCAAACCATCTTACCTTCCCATGCTAAAAACGAAACAGTCTTACGTCACGAGAATAAAAGAACATAGTTGGATGGAACAACTATGAGAGTTCTCTTATGGTGGAACAATGATGGCTGTTGATAGTATCAATGAGTCGTTATATAAATGAAACCTCAAATATTCAGCTCATTAGCTCCAAGGTATCAACGTGGTGAATTGAGCTTCACCGTAATTTGTCAATGTTACTTACCTGGGAATACTTCGCGGTGTTTTACCGAGGCGAAAAATAAGAACAGTTGTGTACCATGCATTGGGTGCCCGTTAGGCGGTGAAAGCTTATCAGCTCTGTCTTTCAATGGCTGACACACTTTCTTATTTCAGCCCACATTTATTTTTAAAAATAAAAAAACCCAACACCAACATGCAGTGCCATATGTCTCCATAGCTCGCGATATTCTTTACGTTGGCGTCAAAGGTCAACCAGCCACGCAAAAAAAGCCCCGTGACTCAACTTCCTGTGCTGAATTTTACATCGACGTGTGCACAAAGCGGCTGACAAGTTTTCGAATATGTAAATTTCAGGAATTCAATAAATTACCCGGACAGTCAATCAGACAATCAAGCACTTATTTATTTATTTATTTATTTATTAGAATACCCTCAGGGCCCGTAGGGCATTACAGAGGGGGTGGGTACAACATATATAACACACAAGAAAAAAGACAAAATAAAGAAACAAGTATCAGATGCGCAAATCAGGAAGGCAACATAAGTCAACTAAAAATGTATAAGAATTCAAGCACATACAAGACAAAGATAGATAATGGAAACTGCGTATAGTTACAAGCATTGCTGAGAAATTGCAGTCTTGAATAACAAAGGGTCTGTTATTGATACAACGGAAGAGGGAAGGTGGTTCCAATCGGCGGCTGTTTTCAGTAAGAAGGCTGCTGAAAAGAATTTGGTGCGGCAAAACGGAATGGCAACCTTATGCTGATGATCAATGCGCGATGAGTGGTATGACGGTTGTGAAATGAGGTCTCGTTATTATGTCAACATAAACACAGCGCATAAAAAACACAGACCAGGATCACAGCGTGCAACATTATATCGGCACTCTCAACTTCAACTTAGCATTCAATGTGATCCCAAAATTATGTCTTTATTTGGCATTTTCGAATAATTATATTTTTTTAACTGTGTGCGTCTTTATTTCGTGAATAGTTTAGCGGGAAATGAAAGTTCGATTGGTGTAGAGTCGGGTGGTATTTCCAAAAATGTACCGCTCATCTATGGCGACCACACTTAATTAGGTTGTCATGCACAACAACGGTCAGACGTAAAAAAGATGTGGACTTGTTTCAAGAAGCGATGACAGCAAATCCTTTCACTGCACAAAAGGGTCTGCCTATGTGGCATTTTCGTGGACTCGTGAAGTGAAAGATGGCAGGAAATACATTGCGATTAACGCTATAGCCTGCAGTGATCTCAGCACTGATCACAGCATATTTTCTGTCACGTGGAAAGGAGTAGCCGTCGCGATATGTGTCCGAATCCCCCACATAATAGTTGGTTGGCTCGATTATATTGAGACTATTTCACCTAGACAGTTGGTCGCCGCCATCTTGGGCTGTTAAGACAAACTTTCGGGTTATTTTATATAACGACGTGAATTAATAAGGCCATGAAACATCGTATGCACAAACACTACCTATTTTATGCTTTTGCGTCCACCGTAACATTCATTGTTTGTTTGCAAAACACAAAGGTTAACAAACAGCCCAATATGCTGGCACTGAAACCCTCCATAAAATAGTTTATAGGCGTACAGTTGTAAAGGGTAACGCCCATTTACCACTGTGTACGCCTCAGGGAGCTATATATATATATATATATATATATATATATATATATATATATATATATATATATATATATATATATATATATATATATATATATATATATATCTATATATATATATATATATATATATATATATATATATATATATATATATATATATATATATATATATATATATATATATATAACGTGTCATCGTTTAGGCGAGGCGGTTTAAAAATTTCGTCCATCCATGGTAAATAAAAAATTGCAAGTTTTGTTATGCATTCACTCAAGACGACTGGAAAGCTATTTGGTGCAGCTAAAGTGGCGCCCTAATTGTAAGCAGGGCGCCTACTGCAAGTACAGTTGCTAAATACCCAAACCGTCACAAAATATGCACAAAATAGCCGCAACAGCAGTAGGAACAAAACGAACTAACATAATGCTACGCATATCTTGCAGTCAGCGTTATTACTGACTTTTTTTTTACTATTATATGCTTACCTTATCAGTAGGTATTCAAGTGGTCAGAATATTTTCATTTCCTGATGTTGGCTGTCTTTGAAAACGAAACGCGAGTAACTGTACAGTTCCGTCGTTCACAAAGACAAGCTTGCAGTTGACAAGAACGGCCCGATTTCGGTGGATGTCCACATAATTACGTATTATTGGAATACTTGTTTCACGAACTCGTGTAACGTCGCTTGCTCTACAGGGTGGCTTATGGTGCCGAAGAAGCAAGAGATGGACAGGTGCATCTGTGTAGAGAAGCAAGCACAGATGTACAACCAAGGAGAAGGCAAGCTGACACGCTGGCTCTCTGGTTCGGAACGTGCCGTCCGCCTCCCACGAGGAAGCCAGATGGCATGTCATTTTCAAAATGTCTACGTATTTATTCATGTCTTGCGTAAAGCCCTATATTTAGCCAGGATATAAGACCTCTTCATCGCGGTTTCCTGGCTATAGCTACAAATTTCCCCAGGACCTGATTAAGATTGTACGCGTGTATGAGATCATACTACATGGGTCATCTAAAACAGAACGTGTTTTACTCACCTGGGTCAGTTTTTTTTTCCCCATATAGCGTTCTTTATACCGCTTTAGGCCTCCATTCGAGATATGTAAAAGGGCAAAATCAGTTTGTCGATGTCTGACGTATACAGTTCACTCTTTTTGCATACAGCACAAGAACCAAAGGAGGCCATGCAGGAGAAGAAGACTATAACATAAGCCACGTCGTGCGCCGGCGCCATTTCTTCTTCGACTACGTATGCACAATAACGCATTTTGCGTAATACGCAGTAAGCACGAGTAAGCCACCAACCAGAGCGACCGAGCCACCACGCTGTAGGTCGTGCGGCGAAGCCCGACTCACGCAAGTGAGCAGCAGAGCGTACGCTCAGCGCAGAGAAGCAGCGCGCGCGGGAGAAAATGGTGCGCGCATTAAAGGAGCGCTTACCTTTGCGCTGACGCTGCACACGGCGAGCAGGAGAGCGAATAGGAGCCGCCACCCTCCGCTCAGCCTCATGCTGCCTGGGGCTCCCTTCTGCAGCGCTGAGGAAAGAAAGAGGAATGGGTACGTTAGCCGGGAATGCGGTGTCAATAGCCGTTTGGAAAGCAAGTGTAAGAAGCGCGAATCCGCAAGCCCGAAACGGCGCCGGGTCGCCTACTGCAAGACTGCACTCTGAGGTAATGACGTGTCTTGATGTGAAAGATGTAGGTGTACTACGCGGCCGAGGGAACAACGTGGGTGACACTTTTAAATTCATTTTGCTGTTGCGCTATCAGCACATCGACTTGAAGAATCGAATCTAATCAGTTTTTATTTTGCACTGTAATAAATCATATCGCTGAAAAATATAACAAATATTTATATTGGCGTATGAATATCACCTAAACGAGATATTGTTTTCGCTAAGAGCGCAAAAAAGCCCCGCTGCGGTGGTCTGGTGGCGAAGGTACTCGGATGCTGACCCGCAGGTCGTGGGATTGAATCCAAGGCTGCGGCGCCTGCATTTCCGATGGAGGCGGGAATGTTGTATAGGCCCATGGGCTCTGATTTGGGTGCATGTTAAAGAACCCCAGGTGGTCGAAATTTCCGAAGCCCTCCACTACGGCGTCTCTTATGATCATATGGCCGTTTTAGGACGTTGAACTATACATATCAATAAATCAATGAAATTGCGTAGAAAGCTTGGTCCCCGGCTCAAAAGCGAGCACATCACAAACGTTACACCGTTCCAGTGAAAGAGAGCAGACAGCTGAGAGAACTAACGGTACTTCTACGTTTAGGAGACACTAATGAGCGAAATTCAATTAGTGTGTGTTGGTAACATGCTCTTCCAGCACTATGGCGAAACAGCACTGCTGACGGGACGGGTCAACAGCCAAGACAATGTGCAGCTTTTCTGTGCACTTTCATTCGTCGTCCGTTGACTTGTCCCGCCGTCTGCGCTGTTTCGCGTTTATGAACGTAAACCAATCAGCCCAGATCATAAACGCCTTTGAAGAACCTTGTCCACTTACGGCGGAGTTATGCTTTTCATTTATGCCGTTATACGTTCGTATAAATTACGCCCTACATGTATGAACTCGGGCATTTAGAGCGCGTCTGGCTTGCATTCTCTACGTCCTCTTCTTCATCTTATGCTACGCTCCACGAATACGTGCGCCAGCGAGGTATTTCCTACTGCACCACTTTGTCCCTCGTGGGATGAAATAACTTGAATGGGTGAGAAAACGACTGCAGAGCAATAAGGAAAAAGATAGAAAGAAAGAGGCAGCGAGGAAGATAAGGAGAAAGGCATGAAAGAAAAAGTGTGTGTGTGTGTGTGTGTGTGTGTGTGTGTGTGTGTGTGTGTGTGTGTGTGTGTGTGTGTGTGTGTGTGTGTGCGCGCGTGCGTGCGCGTGCGCGTGCGTGTGTGTGCGTGTGCGTGTGTGTGTGTGTGTGTGTGTGTGTGTGTGTGTGTGTGTGTGTGTGTGTGTGTGTGTGTGTGTGTGTGTGTGTGTGTGTGTGTGTGGTGTGTGTGTGTGTGTGTGTGTGTGGCTATACGAAATACTTCAAGCACGAGATCACTCAGTCGGACTCGCTCGCGTTCACCACATTTAATACCCGGGAAGACTTAAAACTCGTCCCCTGCGACTGTTCCTTTTTTTTTTTTTTTTGAGAATAAACTTAGTTGCGAGATAACGTCCTGTCTTTCTGACTGCGTCTCATTTTGTCGTCGTCTTACTTTCTAAACCGGTGTGGTTCTGGGTAAGTCGGATGTTAGTGGTGATGATAAAATGTTGAACCGGCAGGGAGCGTCGCGGGAGTTCTATCGGTATTCTCTGTTCAACTACTTCTCGTAATTTCTTTAGTCAATAATAAATCATAATTGGTCAAGTTTTATGCCCCAAACCCACGATATGGTTATGATACACGCGGTGGGAAAAATTCGCCAATTTAGACCCGCAGGGATTCTTTAATGTGCACCTAAATCTAGGTAGATTGCCCTCAAGTACGTTCGCATCCATCGAAATGAGACTGCCACGGCCGGGATCGAATCCGGGTCTTTCGGGTCATCAGACAGGCACCATAACTACTGCACCACCACGGCAGCCCATTTATTTAGTCCGGCGGCAAGTTCACTGCTCATCCAAATTGAATTTCTTCGCATTTATGTCACAGTTACTGAAAATAACGCCCCCTACACTTTTCTTAGCTCGATTGTCTGTTGGTTCTCATTAAGGTTGCTGCGTCAAACAAGCGAAAATCGAGCCCTTCCAATTCCACTTCTTTTGCTAATTTACTAGAGCAGCTTATAAAAAAACAATGTTATGTACCCTATGAAATAATTATTGTAAAGTTTACACCTGAAAAGCACAATAAGGTGCAGTGCAGCGAGCCCGCGAAGCGGTGGAGAGGCAAGCTCTTGACGTCCCGACATGGGAGACCTGAGCCCGGGCCATTATTCTGCCGAGCAATTAATAAAGTTTTTTTTCATCATCTATTCATATGAGGCACGTTATAGTGCGGTGAATCTTTATTATTAATATCACCTGGGTTCTTTTATTGAGCATATAAATCTAATCACGCCCGTACTTTTGTACTTTGCTCCTAACGAATGTTTGCTTCATTGGTCAGAAATCAAATCCGCGTCCTTGAGAGTATAGGCTATTTTATGGAGAGGTTTCAGTGCCGCCACGTTGGGATGTTAGTCTTTTTGTTTTGCCACTTTAACAATTAAACAGGCAGTGTTACGGTAGATGCATACGCATGAAAATGGTTGACTTTATGCATATAATGTTTCATGTTATTACCTTACGTCGCAATATATAAAAAAATGCCAGGCCTGCACGGAAGGCGCAGCACAGTCACAGAAACAAGGAAATATCAGCTTAACCACCCATGATGGTGGTGCCCATATGTATTTGGTATAACGGTCTGTAAAGCGGCCCGACATATTGGCAGCTATACGCTTACTTGGGGTTTATTTACGAGTGTCCACTTACACATGCTATGCCGAATGAATTTGAACATTATAACAAGTGTATACCCTTACTCCGCAGCGGTAGTGTAGCGGTTAAGGCTGCTGACTCGAAGGTCGCTGGTTTGATTCCAGCCGTGGAAGTCGCATTTCAATAGAGGCAAAACAGTGGGAGTCTGTGTGCTGCGCGATGTGAGTGCACGTTGGAGAACACCAGATGGTCGAAATTTCCGGAACCATCCGCAACAGCGTCTCTCACAATCATACCGTGGTTTTGGGACGTAAGACCTCAAAGAAAAATATTATTAATAACAAGTGCCCTCAAACAGACAGTCTTGCACGGCGCACCGTGTATCAGCCAAATGCTTTGCGATATCAAACGCTAGTCTCAACCAAACAAGTCCTACAGACGATTGAGCCGCGGAAAGCTTAGGGACCGTTGATAGTTGTCTTTACCTTTAGTTTAGAATAACATAGAGCTGAGCTAGTTGGTTAGTATTCATTCTAGAAGACAGGTCGTGTACGCAAGGACACAAGAATTAAGTCAAGACTCTACAAATGCCAACGAAAAAATGCAAAGTTTTTGCTCAACAGGGTATGCGATTAGACAATGAGCACCAGCTTTAACGCACAGGTCACGGTTTTCTTTAAGACGATATTAAAGACGATAATCTTTCTTGGGGACCTTCGACGGAAAAATTTTCGTCTGTCTGTCTGTCTGTCTGTCTGTCTGTCTGTCTGTCTGTCTGTCTGTCTGTCTGTCTGTCTGTCTGTCTGTCTGTCTGTCTGTCCGTCTGTACATTTGTCTGTTTGTCCGCCCTAACGATACCTCAAACGGCACCAAACGACTAACCCCATTCGCAGCACCCACCAATATTGCCCAAGGTTTAGCGTTCATAGTTGTGCGATTCTCAATAAAAAAGCAATTATTGCGCATATCTGAGGTGCCATAACAACACTTCAAAGTTTTGTATGTCTTCCTTTATACTAGAAGAGGCACGCACAAGTAACTCTAAAGATTGTGGCGTTTATCGCGCTGCAGTGACAGTGCAGCGCGATAGTTCAGCGCGATGCTCAAAAAGGAATTTCCAACGCTTTGCTACGACTTCACGGTGGTGGCACCTGCCCGTCGCTTTGCGTTCTACACCTTATCACCTCCGAGACTGGCGCACATCTTTCTCCGCGGGCTGCACTCTTTCGTTTTTCAAGATAACTGCCAGATGGCGCTTGCTTCCAATGTGCCTCGATGTGCTCGTTCGCCTCCGCTACGCGCTCGAGGCACTCTAACGCAGTGCCTCCAGAATACCATTAACCAATTTTCTTGCGCAGAACATCAAATAAACGTTTTGTTCACTCTCTCCAGACGCAAGACTGTCGTCTTTCGACTACATTTGTGGTGTAACATGCAGATTTGGAACCAATTTTTTTTAGATGTAGCTTATCCTCGCGTTGAAGTGGACACTGTCGTTAAATGTTTAGAAAACCAAGCGTTGGCCGAGTTGGTATTCCATTATGAATGTAATTTCGCGCAAAACAAACGGAGAAAAAGTAGAGAGCACGGACGGGCGTCTTTGTTGTTATTTTTTTCGCAAAATTTCATTCTCTTTGACCATCTGAAAAATAGTAATATCTGAAATTTAACGTTCCGAAACCACTGTATGGTTGTGAGAGGCGCCGTGGTGGAGGGCTGTAGAAATTCCGACCCACTGGGGCTCTTAACGTGCACCCAAATCTGAGCACACAAGCCTACAGCATTTTCGCCTCCATCGAAAATGTAGCCGCCGCAGCCGGGATTTGATCCCGCGACCTGCGGGTCAGCAGGCGAGTACCTTAGCCACTACACCACCGTGCTGAGTAACGCCTGAAGAAGTCTGCAATGTTAAATGCGAGCATAATTGCCGGAAGAAACAAGGAAAGTGTGTCGCAAGCATTTCTAACTCTCATAGTGTATCTCACAGGCCAGAAAAAGTGAGAAGTAGATACGGCCGTTCTTTTCAGTTATAACTGTGTTGCTGTTGACAGGTTGGAACCCCTATTACCTCGGCTACTTCATATCGAAAAGTTCTGCAGTGAAAAAACAATAAT